AATACTTGCATACAACTCCCCCAAATCTATGAATGAAAAATTAAAATATACTTAAATGGACTTGAGGGTTTTACTGTGTATATGACAGAAGGCAAAAAAAATCCTCTTTGGTAACTAAAATCTCTCAAGAGCAGATGGCTCAGCACCACATACTATGCTCTTCATATATAGATTGTTAGCTTCACCATCACTGCAACAGAAGGGCACAATTTTGAATCCTCTTCCTCTCTCTGATGCATAAGTATAATCTTAGAGACACATCATATAGTAGTTTTGTTTGCTTGTTTCAAGAAAGCTACACAAAAGAAGAGCAACATGGTACAATTCTCAGCTACTTTCTCAGGCAGTCATCACAGGGGTTAGGTGTGGGGCTAATCTACTTCATCAACCCTGTCATCCATTAAACACAATCTTTTACCACCAGTCAGATAGCCCTTGGGGTGATGTGGCCCTGAATCATCACACTTAGAGAAAGCAGTGCTTGTTCCCCAGCTCCCAGCACCTCCTAGGAATTAAGGAAAAGTGAAAAGAAGGTTTTAGATATTTCCAGAGAAGAGAGAGAGAGAGAAATAAGCAACTGTGGATTACACTCAGGACAAGCAGGCTCCTGCTACTGCACAATGAATGCATGCATTAAATCCAAACTGAGAGCAAACTAAAGGCATTGGGAACAGCAGGATAGCTGTAACAAAGCCCTATTTGTAAAGCATGATTAATTAAAAAGATCTGCAAACAATGTCCATAAAAGGATAACAGTTTGCTTGCTACAGCCTACTAGCCACTAAGGGGAGACTTTCCTTGCTGCTCAGAAGTATTTAAACTGAACATACTACAGATTACTGTGAAACAAGCAAGAACAAACTGCTGTCTCTGAGGGCTATGGCCCCCAGTCTGGGCTGCTTGTTCTCTTTTATTTTTAGTTTTAGATCTTGACAAAACATGACCCATCTCTACCACTGCAAAACAGGGGTAGAGCCCTTTTCTGCTTCGTGTTAAAACAGCATTTCATTTCTATTGAATCAGTGAACCCCACAACATTCTGACTTGCTCAAAGTACCGTTCCCAACTGTGGGGAAGCCTCAGGGCCCAGTGCTCCTCCATGACCAGGCATAAATCCCTAGGGATCACTGCGTAATATCATGGAGGATTTTCAGCATCTACAAGCTCCCTAGCTAGATATTTACACCTCATTCATCAGTAACAGCTTAAGCACTTGGGGATTTTTAGTGCTCTTCTCCAAGTATCCATTACTCTAATGATTCCTTCTTGAGAGTTTATATATTATAAATAAACCCAGAAACACCATTCATAAATCAATGTTTTTGTCACTAAAAAGTCTCAACAGTGCTATGGGTAATCGCAAATGCCAGGATAAGAGCAGCAGAATCCCTTCATCTCACTCAGGGCACCTTCTCACAAACAGCGGTGCATCTGCTTGTAATCGAACTTTTCAAACCGATATGTCAAGTCACTCAAATGATCTTACAGGTGATTAATCTAGCATTAACTGCCCAGAGACCTATTTGACCATTTCAGCATCTCCCGGCCTCTGGAGGAGGAATAAACCTGCCTTTTGTCCCAGGCACAAACATGTACTCCATCCAGAGCCCTTCACAAAAGCTCCTCCATGCACCTGGGTGTATTATAGTGTGGAGTGCTCAGCATGCAGTTCCCAAGGGAAACATTTCTGCTGCATTCCTAAACCAGGCTAGATATCGCCTGCCTGAAAGCCAACAGGAGAATGCTCAAGAGGTGACCTCTCCATACAGATGTCCTTGCAAGATTCTCTCCAAAAGGTGGCAAAAGCCACAGAGACCACCCAGATCGGGATGATCTATGCCCTCAGTGCCTTAGTGGGCACTACCAGATCTTGACAGCATGGCACTACTGCATGCTTCTTGATCTAGGCTGCTCCCAGGGGCAGCCACTGGGGGGGACCCAGACTGTATCACATGCCAAAAGAGTTCAGTGGTGTCATATGGGATGCCATGTGTCTCTTCCTGTACAAACCAAACACATGGCCATACACTGCCCAGCCCAGCCTATACAACTAGCAACCATTCACCTCCAACCAGGCCCCACAGAGCAGCTTTATATGGAGGGCTCCTTTCTTTATCACAAGTCTGGACAACTTAAGCAGCCAACGGCCACATGCCCCACAGATCACATTAGTGGGGCCCGCACATCGCATGACCTACCGCCCTGCACCAAATGCCCAGGTGC